AAAACAAGAAAAAGAAAAAAGAAAAAGAAAGAAAAAGAAAAAAAGAAAAAAAAAGAAAAAAAAGAAAAGGACCACCCAAAAGAAATTATCATCTCTGACATGGACTCACCGGCAGTACAGCCTGTGCATCCACACGACAGAGCTGTCCTCCTAAGAAGGGCAATGCCTTAGCTGCTCTGTATCTTTCCAATTTTAATGGAAATTTCAATATTGTCTATTTCTGCACATTAAAAAATAACGGGGCGAAGCTGCAACTCCCACCCCCCCCCTTTTTTTAAACCATAGAATTGCAGCTTCCCGCCAACGCACAGTGGCAAACTAAATGGACAAAAAATATTGTTAAAAGTCTTCTATTGGCCGAAGGGCAGCTGATTGAGACGAAAACGAAGAAATGGCACTGATATGGGGCATCATCAACGATTGCCTTTTGTCACGGACGGCCCCACGTGGTTGAAAACCAAACAGGGGAGACGTAAATCTTGCCTAGTCCGTCCTGGCCCCAAGGGGGCTTTCTTCTTTTCGAAAAGTAAGCTACAGGGCCTCGCCACACCACTCTCGAATCTCGAAAATTCGTGAGTCGGGCACCGCCACACAGCATCGCTCGAAAAAAAACTCGAAACTGTTCGAGAGCTGTCAGAAAGGCGTTTTCGAGTGCGCTCTCGATGTTTTCGCCCAGCCTGCAGCGTTGGAGTTTTCGTGATACCGGAGCTCGAGTTCGACGTCCATTTCGAGAGTTGTCAGGCCGTTTTTCGTGATGCCGCCCGTCCGCGCTCCCGGTCTAGTGTGCTATGGGAACATATCAAATCGAATCTTTTCCCAAAAAAAAATAAAAAAAATCCAATCGAATCAATACATCAGGCGTGGGCCTCCCTCCATTGCTCGAAAGTCGACATGTATCTGGGCGCTTATGTTCAGACTGATACATTCAAAGTGTCGGACCCCCACAGGCGTCCCCCCCCTTCCCCCCCCTTCACAAATAACCCCGACCCAAGTGTGTATCTTGGCTGCTGCGTGGTGGAGCGTGGCCGCGTGGCTGCCAGCCAAACTGCTTCGGGCCTCGGGCGTCGGGAACTGTCTCATAACTCATTCGCACACAGAATGCGGCAAGATGCAAACAATGCATCGTGTCGTAGAACATGGCAAGATGCGCTCAGATTTTTCATTCGCGGCTCGTGCGTGAGTAGCGTGCCGACGAGAGCCTTGGGCCGTTCTGGCCGCTTTCAGGTGTCGGAGGAAGAGAGAGGAAGAGAGAGGAGGCGAAGGAGAACCAGGAGGAGGAGGATGGGCTGACGCAGGCAGCTGACAGATACCTCGTTGCTGGAAGCCGCGCTGTACACCACGGAAAGCTTTGCAAAGCGTGGAGGAGGGGTAGGCATCAAACAGTGACTGGGCAGCCAAGAGGTAAGGCGTCTGTCTGCTTGCTTGTGGGTGTCTGTGTGCCCGAGGGTGTGCTAGTGTGGGAAGAAGAAAGAGAAAACGAAGGTCGGAGAGAGAGAGAGAGAGAGAGAGAGAGAGAGAGAGAGAGAGAGAGAGAGAGAGAGAGAG